GAAGGACTGTTTGCTTTTTCCTTCTCTTCCCCTTGACTGCTGCTTTATTAACTGCGATCTCTGAAGCCACCACTTGCAGCTCTCCAAGTGCATGTGCTCTCAGGGTGGTTGCCCTGAGGGGCAACTGCATTCTAGAGACTCTGCCTCCTCTAGAGAGCAGTGCTCCCCTGAGAGCACCCCCTAAGAGGCTCTTCTTCCTGGCACCTCCCAGTTCTGTCCCAGAAGTTATCACTTTATTCTCCATCTTCTCTCCATCCCAGAGCTGTGATACACCCCAAAAGTGGGCTTTTCTTTTGCCTCACCCATGAAGCAGTTTTACTTAGTAGAATGTCACTTATATGTGGCGCTTGTTAATTCACTGATATGTGTAACGTGGTCCAGTTATTGCTGGATCCAGTCAATAAGCATCAGTATCCACTAATGTTACAAAAAAAAATTGAGCAACATTCTATTCACTCCTATCTAGAGGAAAAATATGGCTTACAAAGCAGATTTGGAGTAAATACCTACTATTTGTTGAGTTCATAGACCCAAATCCAGGCTGAATTTTTCTTATCCAAAATGTTTGGGTCAGAAATGTTTTGTGTTTCAGAAGTATTTCTTTTTCTTATTTTGGATTTTTGGAATATTATGCAGACTTCAGCAGTGGAACAGCCCTGGTGTGAAAATCCAAAACGGTCTGAAATCAAAGGTTTTATTTGAAATGAACTACATTCAGACTTTGAAATGTCCGAATTCAGTCAATGAAAAACATTCAAGACATTGGACATTTGGACTAGGAGTGCTTAACAATGCCATTTTATAAGGACATGCATATGAAATAAAGGGACCAGAGGAAACAAAAGGACATCTCAGTGATGCTTCAGGAAATTCAAACTCAGCAATGTCACAAAACACCGGCCTGGTTTAATCTGGAGTAAGACTTAAGAATGAATCTGTATAGACTTCGTAAACTGTCAACTGGTCATAAGAAAGCAAATGCTTCTTAGGAGCCCAGTGAAGGCTCACCCAGGCAGACAGTTGGTCCTGCCTGGATATACTGATTTTCATAAAATATTACTGTGCTTTTCATTTATTAAAGAAAGCACATTGTCAAAAATCCCTCTGAGATATCTGTGGGTTAAACAACATACTGTGGGATTCATTTAAACTTAGAACTAGTTGAACTAGTTAACAACTTAGAACTAGTTAACTCTGTATATGAGTAGTCATTCCAAAGGCTGGGTGTTATGAGAGTTGGGGCTTTGCCCTATTATTTTGCCTGCTTTCCAGTTTATTTTTCTTATATTTATGCCTGTGTGTCTATGTAGGGGTATGGGCACATGGGTGCAGGTACCCACAGAGGTAAGAAGTGTCAGATCCTCCTGGAGCTGGAATTTATGTGGGTGCTCGAAACAGATCTTGGGTCCTCTATAAGAGCAACCTCTGAGGCATCTCTCCACTGTCTATTTTGTCTACTTCAAACTTAAAATCCTCATTAAAATATTTATTTAAAGAACATCTGAGCGTCTGGTAGATGGCCATATGGATAGAGAGCTTGCCATGCAAGCACAAAGACCAGAGATCAGATCCCAGCATCCACATTATGTGCTGGAGAGGTGCAGTAACCTATTGGTGATCCACTGTCAGGAGACAGGGCCTCCTCAAAACAAGCTGATTGTCTAGACTAGCTAAGTCAAGAAGCTCAAGGTTCGGCAAGACACTTTGCCTCGGGAAACAAAGTGGAGAGAAACTGAGGAAGGCATCCAAAGTCAGCTTCTGTACTCCACACAGTCATGTACAAACGTGAACCCACACATATGAACACACATACACACATACACACACACAAACACAGTTTAAAAATAAATATATATATACATACATACATACATAAAACATTTGAATAAGTCCTCAGAAACACTGAATAAAATGAAAAGCCCAGGTCATTTCTCCAGGGCATCCCATGTCCTGGCCCTTTTCTTCTTCATCTGCTCATCCACGTTTATGCACCATTAAAGACTTCCACACCGAGGACTATGGCTTCTTGTGTCTTCACATGTTTATAAATTTCCCTTTTCCCACAGTGCGGAATTCCATTTATTCAGACAAGGGGAAGCATGCTGTGCTTTGGTGCATACAGGTTAGAGTCACTGCCCACTGAACATTGCCCACTGCACACTGCACACGGCAGGGGTGGAACTCCACTAATCGCCACTCCCACCCCTCTGCTCTCCCTACTCTCCCTTCTGCCCTATCAAGCTGGTACATCTGAATTGTATCTGCTGCTTCCCTATCTTCTGCCTCCAGAGAGGATCACCGGGGACAATTCAGTGACTGTGGCAAGGAGGCCATCTTTATAACAGAGCCCTTTTCCTACCTACTTGGCAAGCTGGTATTACACTTCCTCCTCCTCGGGACTCTGTGTTATAAATGAGGCTTATTTGACATTGCAGGTTCACCAGAGGGTGAACAGGGCAACTTGAGCAGGGAGTCCCTACCATTAAACTCCCAGCTAACTATGCCGTTTCTATCTGTTGCATCTCTCCTAGTCAGACATTAATTATACAATCATAAACAAAACCGCCAAAAGAGGAAAAAAAGACTATATTAAGATTCTGATACAGATAAAGCAGAAGATAAATAGCCCTGGGACGCTGTGAAGAAAGTCGGCACATGCAACTGCTCAGTGTTGAAGAACAGGCAAAGAATGTTCACAGCTAGGCTTGCTGCAGAGCTCTTGAGCCAGGACGCAAGCAAGCGAGGGAAGAGTGCTGGAGAATCAAAGAAAAAACCCTGACTCTATAGGGCAGGTGTCCTATATTTAAATGTCTCCCGGAGAGTCATGTATGTTAGCACTTGGTTCCCAGTGTTTTGAGGCTTAAGGAATGCTTAGAAGACACAGCTTTGCTGGTGGAAGTATGTCACTGGGGGCGGGCCCTGAGAATTTATATCTCTATCCCGCTTCCTGTCCCCTGTGTATGGATACAAATGTTATCAGCCAGCTTCCTGGTCCTGCCGTCATGCTGTCCCTTCCCTGCCATGAAGGACTCTATCACCCAGGAACCATTAGCTAAAGTAATTTCTTTCTTAAAAGAACAAACAAACAAAAAAACCTTTCTTCCTCAAGTTGTTTTTGGTCATGGTAGTTAAACACAGCAACAGAAAAGTAGCTAATATACCAGCTAAGGGTATAAACCTTGATCTTGAGCACAGAGAGAAAGTATGGAACATTCCCTTTGGCCATTCAGGCCCTTGTAAAAGATCATCATCACCCAGACAATTCCTGGTCCCTTCTACCTTGCAGGTAGCATGATGAAGCTGTGGTATATGACAACGACTCAACCAACTCCCTCTGGATTAAGGTATAAGTGAGAGAGAAAAAACATAGATGGACTGTTTGGGGGAACATGGGAGAGATCTATGGCAATTGTTAACTTGACAATCTATAGTCACCTGGGAGGCAGATTTCTGGGCATCCCTGTGGGATGCAGTCATTGAGTTAGGAAGACCCAGCTACAACTGTGGCACTGTTCCCCAGCTGGGATCCTGAACAGCAGTAAGTAGAGAAGGGGTCTGAGGAGCAGCCTGCATTTACTGCTCTCTGCTTCCTCATTGGATGCACTGTGACCACAGCTTCGAGCTTTTGTTGCCTCTGCTTCTTTACCATGAGGGACTTACCCTTGAACTGTGTGCTAAAACAAACCTTTCTCCAGAGTTCCTTCTGTTCAGGGTGTTTCCTCGCAGCAACGGGAAAAGAAGTGAAGATGGCTGTGCCTTTGTTTATTAAAGTAGAAATACAACCATCTCACCTTTTGTGGATAGGGGCTGGCACATACACAATGCTATCCCAAAGTTACAAGTGGATGTTTTACTTTGATTTGTTGTACAAACTTTGAGTTTATATGATCACTTATATAATGCAACACGAAATAAGTCATTTTTATAATTCCTAATTGGTCAACCTTAGTTGAATAGGTTGAACTGTTTGAATGAACTTACACTATAAATCCAGTTTTAAATGCAAATATACAATATTAAAGTACGAAGTAATGTGCATACTGTAGCAACTGAATAGTACTAAGATGATTATAATGGTATCTTTCCCGTCTATAATATTTTGTGATAAACCGTACAGTCATCTCATGCTCAGTAAACAAGATGAAACTGGATGTAAATAACTAGTTTTTAAGCTAAATATTTATTTCTTCAGTAAGGCAGGAAAAGTATCAGCCAGGAGCTGTGGTTTGTATTAAAGCTGCACTACCTCTGCGCCTTGATGGCTTCATGAGCACGGAATGTCTTATTTCCTAGAGAGTAAAACAGAATCAAATCGATTTATCATTGAAGTACAGATGATTATGAATAGGTTTTCAGACTTAAATGACACCATTCATGTTTATCCTAAGCATTTCTGTACTGTGTAGAGTTTATAAGTTGGTAAACCAAGAGGAAAAAAACGTTGTTATTTGAAAATAGTTTTTTCAAACAATATATTCTGATCAGTTTCTCCTACATCCGACTCTTCCCAGATCCTCCCTGCCCACCCACATCCATACCCTTTCTTTCTTTCTTTCTTTCTTTCTCTCTCTCTCTCTCTCATTATAAAACAAGCAGACATCTAAAAAATAAATAAAATAAAATAAAAAGAATACCACAAAGCAAACAGAAAAAATCCAAAGGAAAGCAAAAGAAACAAATACAGATGCAGAGACACACACATTTGCACACACAGGAATCCCATAAAAACACAAAACCAAAAACAAAATGTGCAACAAAAGACCTGTGATGTTAAAAAAAAAATGCTTAGATAAAGCATTGTGAGACAAAAACCCTCCAAAAGTACTACTGAGTTGGTTTTGTGTTGGCTAGCAACTGCTGGGCATGCGGCCTGCCAATGAGTGTGCTTTGTACACCCAGCCAGACTCCGTTGGGAGAAAACTAAGTTTTTGTTTGTGAGCAGTTAAAATTATTTGTGCCTTACACACAAGGGTTTTTAATAAAATTGAGATATTGCTCACCAAAGAGGCCATGGTGAATCCGATGACTTCAATGTAGCCATCATCGTGACGCTGGGGTTCAAAGTCGTGGTGATCTCCAGGGTTTCCCCAAGGCATTGTGCCAGCACAATATCTGCAAACCAGGTCAGAATCAGTTAAGGCGACCTCACTCTTCTCCTGATTATCTCTGGGAATTAACTTAGGGTTAAATATACATGCACCAAGGTCTCGCACATATGCTCATGACTACACAGGGGGTTTATAGTTCTGTCAGTTTATAAATAAACTTTAAAAAATCATTTCTAATAATTTGTGATTATTAAATATAATAACAGCTTGTTGTTCTTGAGGCATACCTTCAAGTGTGAAAAAATAGACTTATCTCCAAAACAATATAACTCGGCAAAAACAAGCCACGATTTTACAACAAAACCATCCTGTGGTACCCATCTTTCCTGTCCGTCATCATTTGCCAGCATTTCTCACTCCAGGGTTCATGTTTTCTATGTGATGAGTTATCCTCCATCATTTAGTAACTCTTAAATGAAGACAACTTCACGCAATGTAAAAAAGAACATAAACAAAGGTGGTAGCATTTACCACTGCATATAAAATCAAGGCAAGAAATTCCGACAGGAAAAGAATAAATGACAATTAATAAGTAAATAAAAGATAAGAAATAAAAGATGCTAGACATGGTGGTGCATGCCTGCTGTTACAGTACTCAAGAGGCTAAGGTAGAAGGATTGCAAATTGTTTGGAGAGATCGTCTCGCAAAAAAAAAAAAAAAAAAAAAAAAAAGGAGGGAAGGAGGAATGGGAGACGAGAGGGGTGAGATGAGGAAGGGAAGAGTAAGAAAATGATAAAATCGGAGAAGCAGAGTAAAGAGGAAAATACGACAGAAGGCATCACCAGCTGGCATTCCTCCAAATCCATAAGCCTTCTACTAAACCCATGCCGACCCGTGCTCCTGACAGAGGTTGCAATTGAGTGCCCTGAGCATGCCAGGAGTAACCCGGAGGCCTTCGTGGGTTTCCCTAGACATAAATTTCTATAGATCTCTCATTTTCCCTCAGCAAATTCAGCAAAGGTCAGCTTCTTTGCGGATTGCTGTCTGAGTTGGATGGTAGCAAATAATGAGGGGTTATAGGTATTTTGGCTTGAGAACCTAGCATTGAATTTTAGGTCAATGAAATAATATGCTTATTTTAAAAAACAGTCAATCCTAAGTGTTTCTTTCTCCTGGTGCACAACAGTTCCAAAGAGCATTTAAACCCCGTCTATAACATGCCTCTCTGGTGGAGTCCAGCATCTGGCAGAGAAATCCATACTCATCAGGCTGGATGTGTTCCCAAGAGCTTTTGAAAAACTGAAAGAAGGGTTCTATCTTCCTGTCTTCCTGGGGGCTGCCAGGTGGGTGTGGGCAGTAATGAGGATTAAATGAAAATGTTCAAGAAAAGGGCCTGAGTCTCCGAAGACTAGGAGAATAAAGGTAATGAATTCGATATCCTGGGCAAGACCCACCTACCACAGGGAAAAAGCCAAGGAAGGGAAGAAAAATAGCAGACATGGAACCTCGGACAAGACATTAAAACAGAGGATTTCATGGCCTCTGCCTGGGGTGTTTCACTTATAAAATCAGATGCCCCAAGTCAGACGGAGGCATCAAACAAAGGCAACGGTATAAACAGAGCTTACCTGGGAATATTTAAAAATACTATACACTGGAACTTCAGGTCCTGGATCTTTGGGGTGAGATCTGTCCCGTCGCACTGCAGCAACCAAAGCAGAGAAAACAGGGCTTCTGAGGTTGGCACGAGTCTGAGAGCCTCATCTGAGATAACTGGGTTGACAACGGCATAAAGCATGGAGTTCTTGCCCTTGCCCCCAGTGAGTGCCAGCTACTGTCATTGAACTTTACGCTGAGTCTAACTCTACTCGAATCAGGGCTTATCTTTGGTTTTGATCTGATTTCATATAAAATAAAACTTCCATTTGACTCAAACAGCTTTTTCGCTGTTCCAATATTCAGATACTGCCATCCCTTGCCTTGAACTATTATTAGACATTTAAACAGACAGTGCTAACATTTAAAGACTACACCACTTCAAAGCTGAAGTCTCGAGTGGAGCCAGCGGCAATCCCCACTGTCATCAATCGATCCACACAGCATGAACGTGGCCATTGGCTTTCTTTCCAGCCTGAGATAATGTCTATTTTGAAACTGAGAAACATGTCTTGAATCCATTATCTGAAAGTTTTCAAGGAGTCTGCTCTGAATGCGTATCACCTCTCCCAGATCCCCTGTTGTTTGCTACAGGGTAAAGCCAGTGTCTCAGATGTCAGAGTTCATAAACTCCTGTTCAGAAGTAAGTGTGAGCGTAAACACTGGGCAAGAAGACACAACGGTGTCTAGTGATTTGCTCTCACAAATCTAATCTCTCACAGAACTGGGCAGCACTTCTGAGATTAAACTGCTGGGGTTTGGACGTGACCTTGGTCTCTAGGACTCCCTGATAATCCTCCCCCTTAGTAGCCTCGTCCACATCTTCCTTCATCACCTGGTGCTTTCCCCGTGAGTTCTGCCCTCTAACCAATCACAAAACAGTCTCCATTTTCCTCTCCATCTCCACAGTGATAAAGTCCAGAAGACTAATTAGAGTCAAGGACACAGTGCCATGGTGGAAAGCTGCCTTTTCAGCTACTCTCTCCCGGTTCAACCACCGCATCCCAGAATCCCATGGGTTTGTTCTCTTTTGGAAGCAGAAATAGAGCATTCCAAAGCTCACCACAGTTTTATAAAGATTTCTTTCACCAGAATTTGAGACTAAGCATAATGATTTTGCAAGCAGTCAAGGTTGCTTCCAAGCACCACATTCTTTTCCCACCTGATCTGAATACACCCCAATTTTCACAAATGGGCTCAAAAATAATTTCCAGGAAATCAGATAGCCTTAAATCAAATATTTCCAAAAGTAATTTAGAAAGAAATCAAGTTCTAGTAGTAATCAAAGATGTTTAGAGTACTCCCAATAACCAAAATCCTCCAAATCATTTAAGGGCTTCAAGCCAATCCACAGAAGACTATGGCCATGAAGGAAGCACAGAGTAATTTTATTTAAACAATCAAAGTTCAAGAGTGTAAACAAAAAAAAAAAACCCTTACATTCAAAATATAGGAAAATCTGTTGCTATGTACATTACAGAAAAAAAACACTATAGTAAACACCACTAAACGTGGACCCCAATGTTCTAGCCTTTCCTCCTAGGAAATACGTCAGTGATTATAGTACCTCATCAAATTATTTAAAGATGTACACCATACAATGTACAGTATTTTACTATTTTTGCATATGAATGCATGAAAATGTACAGTTCTCTAGAACATCGGTAATCAGTGTTTTCCCTAATTCAAACACACAGAAGAGAAAATATCTGCTTGCAAAATATTATTGTGTATCCATTCCCATGGGTTGATAAACCAAACAATGGGCAGTAAATAGTGTGATATGTAATGTTTTCTTAGTACTTTGTGCTTTCTTGGTCTAGAATTCGTACACACACCTTATAACTATGTGTCTTCTATATTACATCCAAGATACTGACTTCACCTATGACAAGGATAAGCTGGTCTGTTTTATATACAGCTGATACAGTTAGGCTGTGACGTGTCCCTCAAAAAGGCTCATATGTTAAAGCTTGGGCTCAAGCTGGTGGCAGCACTGAGGTGTGACTGGATGGTGAGCATGCTATTGTGGTGCTGAGTTCACACTGAATGAGGTGTTAGGAGGTAGGGCCTATTTGGAAGACGTTCACTCAGGGTTTGCCTTGATGCGTGCAAATTGTCCTTGGTCCGTCAGTCATCAGTCAGCTTCTCCCTCCCCCTTCTCCTTCACTTTTCCTTTCCTTCTTCCCATCCTCCGTTCTTGGTCACCATGAAGTGAATAGCTCTGCCCCCCTCATCCCTCCCACCATGAGCATCTCTCCTCCCCTCATCCCTTTCATCATGACAGCTCTCCTCCCCTCATGCCTCTTACCATGACAGCTCTGCTCCCCTCATCCCTACCACCATGACAGCTCTGCCCCCCTCATCCCTCCCACCATAACAACTCTGCTCCCCTCATCCCTACCACCATGACAGCTCTGCCCCCCTCATCCCTACCACCATGACAGCTCTGCTCCCCTCATCCCTCCCACCATGACAGCTCTGCTCCCCTCATCCCTCCCACCATGAGCACTTCTGCTCGCCTCATCCCTCCCACCATGACAGCTCTGCTCCCCTCATCCCTCCCATCAAGAGAATCTCTCTTCCCCTCATCCCTCCCACCATGACAACTCTGCTCCCCTCATCCCTCCCACCATGACAGCTCTGCTCCCCTCATCCCTACCACCATGACAGCTCTGCTCTCCTCCCTCTGCTCTCTTTCCACCATGAGGCTGTGCCTCACCCCAGGGCCAGAAACAAGACTGCTTTGTCCAGGAGCTGAAATTCCCTGAAGGGATGCCATGGTTAGCTAATACCAGCAATATTTAACCCTTGTCTCAGTGGATCTCAGGGTTTCATCTTCCATGCATATTTTGCTATAGATTATAGACTTTATGTCATGATCAGCGATTGAAATCATATAATGTTCTGAGAACTCATATGGTTACAAAGAAAAGACATAGAAACTCTAGTAAAAAAATAGCAAGAGATTCACAGCCAGATACATATTAATGCTGATAAAGCAGCAAGAGCAGCTTTGCAAATGTTTGCCTATCAGATTTCTACACTTCTCACACACACGCACTTTTACCCTCTCTTTTTGAGATAGGTTTTCACCAAGCTATGCAGGGTGGCTGCTGGCCTTGAATTTCCATTCCTTCCAGCTCAGCCTTCCAAATAGTTGGGGCAACTGACAGAAGCCACTGTGCTCAGCCTAGCATTTTTTAAATGAACCTTGCATCCTGCAAGAATGAGTAAGTCATTTCTACTACATTAGCACTGTATATACTAGTTTATTAACATTGGAAACATTATCAGTGCTCCAGGAAATATCATTCTATTACAATCCTTAGTTGTTTCATTTTCAACAATCATTTCCCTTTTTTGGTTTAATATAGAAGTAATTTATTTAATATAGCTAGCATGTGTTTTTAAAAACACTTTGCTGAACTTGGCAGTACATGCCTATAATCTCAGTGCATGGGAAGTAAAGAAACACAGATCAGAAACTCAAGGCAATTTTGGCTAAATAGCAAGTTCAAGGATAGAACGGCACTCTCTCAACAAACTACAAAGGACCAACTAGAAGCAGGTATATTTCATTTTGTAAACATATATGAAGATCTCATGAACAGGACTACCTCTTAAATGTTAAAGACTGCTTTTCATTTTAACTGTCACATTTTCCTCTATCATTTCTCTAAATCTCCATAACCTAGTATCATGTATTTTCTGTATTTTGTCTATTTTTACATATATGTACACATACATATGCAGGCCACACACATATGTTGTTTCTACATTTCTTTACCTGCTGCATGATGGGTGAAGGCACTGCCATATTTCTCCATAGATGTATTTTTCAGCCTCGTTTTGATTAATTCTTACAACTATGCAAATCAAAGCCATATTCATCTCTTCATAATCTCAGTTATTACACGAAACAGTTTGTTTTTTCTTAACTGATTTTATGATATATTAGACTGTGCCAGCTAGACAAAGAGAATTTCAACTCTCTTTTGCCTCCAGTGGAGACATAGCCTGAGTTTGAAACTGAAGAAGTAACAGGAAGCATCCACCCAGGGCGAGGAGCCTTGACTTTGAGTACAAAGCCAGGATAAAGTAGGTGCTTGTTCTATAATGGAGACTCCTCAGAAAGGTCTGGAACAATTGTTGGCTAAGTATTTGTTTATACTGGAAAAGCCAGCTCATGGCATTTCTTCCAGGAAGATTTTCTGTATCCTGAATGGGATTACCACTCTTGTGCTACCAGTGTTCTGCACACATGATTGAATAGTGGTTCTATGTGCCTGTAGTGATTATTTCTACATGTACGATTGAGTAATGGTCTATGTGTCTACAGTGATTATCACCCTTCTCCATGATTTCCTCGGGAGTCAAACTTGGTCTTTATTTCATGCCAGGAGCTAAGACGGAGATTGACACATGCGGAAACTCATAAACACGGTCTAATGAGCTCCTCTTCATGGTGTGCAAACTGTGTGCAGCCCAGGGGTTAATACACACATCAATGACATGGGAAGGGGCATGAAATTCATATTCACAAGCAATTAAAGGAACCCATACAGTCAATACTCACGACAACTTTGACGTGTTTGGATAAGTCCCTAGAACTTCTCTGTAGGAAATCAGAAAAGGCTGCCTATACCATGAGGGAGAAAAGAATTTTTTGTTACATGGTTCCCACCAAATCCTTGCTTCAACATGATAAGACAGTTTCCCAAGATTCCACACTTTGAAAAAAACATACAACAAATTCTCCTTTGGTTGAACCCGAGGTAAAATAGGGCAGTGTCTGTGGAAATCGTCTTTGTTTTCAGACTATAAACTACAATAAAATTTAAGATTATAGGAGACGATTGAAAAAGTGGGTGGTTCCCAGAGTCATTGGGAATCCAATGCTAAGATCACCTTTAACCTCCCCTAGGAATGCTGTCCACTGCCCCTCATATTTTAACTCCTACCCAGTGCTATCCATTTAAGGTGCATGTTATTGTCACATTCTGTGTCTCCTGTTTTCACCTCTACCCACTCCTAGGAATGTCCCTGAAGAGTGAAGAGTCCAGTCCCCCTCTCCCCACCCAGGCCTCCTTTGTGTTCTCACAGCAAGCTCCATGCTCTGCCAATTTCTCAACCAAGGTCACTGGGTACACAGCCTGCTGAAGATTATATCCTCAGTTAAGACTGTCTGTGACGGATGGGATTAGCTGTCAACTTAACACAGTCTACAACCACCCGGGTGAGGCGTTTCAGTGTGGGACTGTCTAGATTAAGTTGGCCTTGCCCTCATGTCTGTGGGTGGTATCTTGATTAGTGGGAAGGCAGGCTTGTTGCGGGTGGCACCTTTCCCTGGGCAGGGAGTCCTGGATTGGAAAGGTGGAGAATCAGCGTGAGCAGGATCATGTACGCACTCGTTCCTTGCTCCCTGCTCCTGATGGTGAATGTGTTGTGACCTATATGCTTCAACTTCCTGCCACCTTGCCTTTCACCAGTGACAGAATGTGATTTAAAAATGTTAGTCAAATGAACACTTTTTCCTTTAAATTGCTTTTTGCCAGGATATTTTATCACAAAAATAGGAAGCAAACTAAAAATAAATAAAAAATAGATGTTTTTCCCATCTATTTTTTCCAGTTCCTTCATTGATATCTGTTACATATTGCTCTCTCAAAGTCATTGACTTTTGTGCACCCCAGGGGCCTAAAATTCAATCACAGTCAACACCAAGCCCCTTACTGGCTATTCATTTAACAAATATTCCCTTTCTTTCATTCCTTGGTGAAGGTTTTAGGAATAACTATACATAAGCATAGATGGAAGTGTCTAGCATTGCTAATTTTGATGTGGTTAGTTTCTTTAGTATTCAGTGAATTGGCATTAAATCATATTAATAATTATAAAATGAGAAATATACTTACCCCTGCATAGAACATTTTATTTCGAAAACGACTATTGAATTTCTCTGGATTTGCTTCTGCAAAAGACAGAGAGGTAGTTTTGTTATAGGACCTTTATAAAAGATTGGCCTTGGTGTGAATTGGAAGTGTGTTTGCAGCACTGATCATCAGGTCCCGCCTATCCTTGCTCTACTGGAATGTCTGAGTGGGAGGTCCCAGAAAGGCAGTTTGATGAGCTCCCAGTGCACTCACAAACATTAAAACTGGAGACTTTTTTTTTTTGTAATTGCTTTGAATCATAGGATCAGAGGGATTTGGGACACGGATGGAAGAAAGAGATCTGGGGCTGTGGTTATTCTCACTGAGTCAATGAGAATGTGGCTTCTGTAAACCACATGGAAAGCTTCAAAATGCAGTGAAACAGGAGGGATTTTGAGAACTCTGGACCCCCTCCCTTATTTGTGATAGACCGTGGAAGAAATGGAAGTAAATGAAAGAAAAAGAAATGGAGGTAGATAAGGAGGTGGAGAGTAGGAAGAGGGCTGGAGAGAGGGAAGAAAAGGAGGGCTTCTGAAAATACTTTCATATTACAGAAAAGTACAATATGAAAAATGATTTAATCTTCAGCTTGCCTGTACCATTATTTAGCTCAAAGATCCAAAAAGATGAAATAGTCCATATCAAGGAATTTTCACAGGAATTCAGGTGTTAATAAATGCCTACATGAAATATAATTTCCTCAAATGTTTCTCCCTTTGGAATTGTATACAACAATACCAAAGTTTCACTAAACAATCTTTGTACCACCCACCAGTAGCTTCTTCAGCTAGGTCTTTCTCCCAGTCATTTCTCCCGAGAGAGCAAGATGATGAGAGGGCACTTTCCCAGTCCTAAGACTATCTAAAAACAGTGATTACCATTCCCTGTCAAAATGAGAGGATGTAAAAGTCCACTCGCCCAGACTGGTCTTTAGAAATAATATGAGATCTCAAGGAAAAGTCCTACATAATGCTTATTGAGTTATTTACAGTATCCTTAGAGCCAACTAATACCTGAACACGACACAGAAACTGGGTAAAGAATTACAAACTTAACTAATAAAAGAAGGGAGGGAGTGCTTGCAGATTGGTTCTCAATAGCTAACTGCAGCTATTGAATCTCAAGGCTTTCCTAAATGCTGTTCTACTCAACAATACACTCGGATCCTAGACACAAAGCTGAGCAAAAAATTATGAAGAAAAATTTAAAAAATATAAAATGGTGTTAATTGCTCGCTCTCTCTCCCTATTACTCTTACCCTCTTTTTAAGATTTACTTATTTATTTTATCATTTATTGATTGTGTGTGTGTGTGTGTGTGTGTGTGTGTACCTACAAGGGTCAGAAGAGGGTGTCAGGTCTCTTGGAGCTGGGACTACAGATGACTGTGAGCCACCCAATGTGAGTGCTGAACCCCAGAGCTCCTAACCACTGAAGCCATTTCTCCCTCCCTGTGCTTCTGACTTGTTTTGAATCAACTTGCTGGGCTTCCATTTTCATTTTCAGTTACAACAGCTTTCTTGTTTTATAAAACCAGAGGTAAATAAGAATCATTGTTTTTTTGTACTGTGTCTTGAGTATATGGGCTCTAATTAAAAAAAAAAAAATCCAGTCCAGCTATCTAACAAGTTACAAAAAAATGGAAATGTCATCCAGCCACAGCTCTGGTGTAGAACTTGCTCAACACAGATGCCCACAGCTATTAAGCGAACCCTAGACCAGCACTTATGTGCTTTATAACTTATGGCTTGGAAAAAGTCACAACTCTATGTGGTTTTTCTAGGAGACTTGATTTTTTTTTAATAAAACTGAAAAGAAGATTCATTTTCTCCAAAGACAGACTATTTCCCATAAGACCACCAAAACGGGATAAAATGGAGAAATAAACTGAGCTTTTAGTGACTTAACTCACACCTTTGATGAAAATGGTCCCATCCAATGCAATTTAGCTGGGAGCAATAAACTTTAAAAACAAGTCCATCGAGACACCTATCGTTCAGAGAGCTGTCAGAAAGACATAGAGGAAGGGATGGGCAGGCACTCATATGCCTTGGCCTTAGGGGTTTAAGGGGAATCCTGTTAGTCCCAGGATAATGCACTTCTGAAAGGCTATTGGGTGAGCACTCTTCCTCTAAGCCACATTTCTAGCTTCATTTCCCCTTTTGCATCTTTTGTGTAAGCAAAAAACAAGACTCAGAGAGACAGGTCAGCTAGACCTCAGAGGAAGCTCAGCCTACTGCCGGAACTGGGCCACCTACTGCCGGAACTGGGCCATCTCCTACCAGGGCCAAGCCATGGAGGAAGCAAACAGGCAGAGGATGGCCCGCAGATGCAAGCAGCTGTGCCCAACATCATTTCCATTGCTGTGAGAAGGAAGGGCTGTATGGCTGAGTGTGTTTACGTGCAGCATATGAAGTTGGTGTACCTTTAAGAAGAGCCAAGAGCATGGACACTCCACTCTACCTTCTACACTGCATAGAGGAAGAAAGGCAGAATAAAAACTTGGGGAGAGGCCAATGAGAAAGTTCAAGAACGCATTCCTTCAGGAAGTTATGTCTGCTAGGTGATTCAAGGTAAACATGAAAGACTAACAGTGTTGGCACCACTGCTAGAAGGATCTGTGATCAATTGTTTGAATTCCCGGGTTATCCATTCTCCCCCTTCACAAGGAGTGGGGGTGAGACAGTCAGACCCACTCACCGTCTTCTTACTCCATTATTCTGTTTCCAGTCAGCAATGTGACTTTATCAGTTTCCTGCTCCTACCATAATAAATCATGACCAATTTGGAATATTCAAACACCATTTATCGATTTGCTTATAATTCTCTTAGTCGGAATTCTGGAATGGGCTCCCCTGCAGCCCTTCCTGAGGGTTTGAGACGTATACTGTGACACCCTCATTGAGAGGAAACCCATCCTGGTAATTCAGGTTGTTGGCAGAATCCACATCCGGAGGCTGCGGAACTGAAGCTCTCCTGTGGCTAGAGAAGAGCACTGGTTCGCACAAATGGAGTGCTCATTCGCTGTCTGAATCCATTGGGTTCTGATCCCTGCCACAGTCAAAACCAGCTCATCAAATCCTCATAGCCTGAATCTCCCCGACTTCTCCTGTCCTCTACCTCTGCTTTTAGGGGTTCACATGATTATACTGGCCCATGCAGGCAATCTCAGATTGTCTTCTGACATTGAAGTCTGCTTTGTTTACACGAGTAAAGCTCTCTTGTCACGATGGGCAATGACTCCAGATGGCAACTGCCATGGGAGACAAAGCTGCTGCAGTCCACCTTCCAGCCCTCATGGCTCACAGTCCTCCTCCTAGTTGGAAAAGGTATTTAGTACTTAAAAGGTCCTCAAGGGTCACAGTTCACTGTACCATCAACTTAAAAATCCCAAATCTTGTCTAAGTCTCGTTATCTCAAACCTTCCCTTTTAACTAAAGTTTCTAAATGATTTGGCTCTAATTAAAATCTGTTTATAAGGATGATGGAGTTCTGGGTATAATCCATTAAGCTGATTAGAAATGTTAGTCCCATCGTTAAACACAGCACAAAGGCACGGTGCGTGTCACCACATTGGGGACCTTGGTTCAGAGTTATAATGTTTTGTTGGTGCTGACCGCCACCTAACATATCACCACACTCCTCAGAAGGTTTAGTAATTCCATTTAATGAAAGGGTTCATATGGAAAGCATACTGGTTCACCTCCTCGGACATCCCTTTTATATCCAATTATTATAATCCAAAGATCAACATTCTGACATTCTGAACATGCAAATTTGTAAAGGTATTTAGCCACAATTAATTCATAAAAGACTTCCTAGGTTACACACTCCTCCCTAAAATAACATATGTAAACAGAATCACAAGACCATTTCAGTGTAGAATCCCACCACGGATTTCAAAGAAAGTGGGGATGGGTTTACAGGATGGTTTGGAGGAGGGAAAGGAAAGGGGGGAAATATTGTTAATTGTTGTAATGGTCTATCCTGTCCCTTTAATAGACTAGCCTCACCCACTTCCCCCCTTCCAACCAGGCTAGCAGATCTTCCTTCCTTCCTTCCTTCCAACCTGCACACATCACTTGCTCTCTCTCTCTCTCTTTCTCTCTCTCTCTCTCTCTCTCTCTCTCCTTTCCCCTTCCCTTTCATAACCCACTTAATAAACTATACCCAAACCCTCTTTATGGTGAGCCTATCTGTCTCTGTCTCTCATCTGCCGCTCCTGGTGGGACCAGCTGCCCCGCCAACCTGCCCAGGTCTCTTACCCGCCACCTCCCATCCTCCTAGGACCCACAGAGGCCTCGGGTGGTGGGTCCTGGCTGCCCCTCATGGCCCGCTGCACCTTTCGGGGAACTGCACCTCAGCATTTTATCTAAACCATTACAATTGTATCATAAATTCAAATTGAAAAAAAAAGCTGTTCAACAGTGCTTTAAAAAAAGACATTGAGTTTCTTTAGACGGTACTTCAGAAAACTTACAAGCTTTAGAAATATTTATGCACTTGTTTATTTATTTTTATGTGTATACGTGTACACTTGTGTGAGTTTGTGTGCAGCATGTGTGAGCACTTTCCCACGGAGGTAAAAAAACGCCACCAGATTCCCCTGGAACTGTCGTTTTAGGTGACTATGAGCTGCCCTATATAGCCGCTATAAGGCAAACCCAGGTCTGCAAAGAGAGATATTAGTGCTCTTTTTTTTAATTTATTTATTTATTAAAGATTTCTGTCTCTTCCCCGCCACCGCCTCCCATTTCCCTCCCCCAATTAAGTCCCCCGCCCCCCCCCCTGCTCAGCCCGAAAAGCAATCAGGGTTCCCTGTCCTGTGGTCTTAACCACCGAGCCAGCATCTCTCCAGCCCCCCAGCGGCTTGTTGTTATTGCTTTGTTCTATTTTTTCTTTAAATTCCCTGTGCAGAATAAGAGATAAGCAGCTGAGCACGGTGGCATGTGCCTTTAATTCCAGCCTCAGGGGGCAGAAGCAAGCTGATCTCTGTGAGTTCAAAGCCAGCCTGGTCTATGGAGAGAGTTCCAGGACAG